GTTTTCATGCCTTCTACAACTCCAAACGCATAAACTGGATTGCCTGGATGTCCAGTCAAAATGTGTTAATGCTAAAGCTGTCACAGGAGTGTCCTGTAGTTTGCCTTCACACAAAACTGTGATGTGAGCACACAGCATATGTAGAATGCAGGTCTGTTTGTGCACAGCAGGTATGCTAGAACTGATCAAGAGGTTATGGGAAGAGGACAACTCATACAACTGGAGCTCCAAAGGACCACACCTGAAGCTGAATGGTGGCAGATGCAGAAGAAACCATACGGAGTGCTTCTTTGCACTGTGCCCAAGTCAGGTCCTCAGTGATCTGAGTTCATTTGTTTAGGTACATTAATATCTTGCTTTTCCTCCAGTAAAGTTCAGGCAGTGTACATGGCCCTTGTCCCTACTTTATCTTTACAGTAACAATGTAGGTTGGAGTGAGGGGAAAAAGTAATTGGTCCCTGATTGCTGAAAGCATTTCTTGGGCATGGCTGAACCGGACTGACCAAATACAGTACCAAGCAAGCACTCTCCTCACTGCGCCACACTGCCTCTAAAATTAAGTGCCTCTCCCTTCTGCTATCCTCCTCTAAAAACTATTCCAGAAGCACTTCAGCCTTCCAAAGCAGATATCTAGGTTATACATGAGGTAACAAGGGAAGAAACTATCAGTGTTACCAATTCCAGAATCGGGAGCACCTGAGAACAGGACTTAGGGCTGAAGCCATGCTCTGTGCTACAAACTCTGGAGAAAAACCTGGGAGTTCTTACCGAGCGACATGCTAACTTCTAAACATCTGAGGCTACAGCCAACTCATGCTTAGTGTGGCCTACTCTGGTACTTGGCTAGTAGTCCCAGCACATCCACCATGACTGTTGAAGGCCTGATAAAGAAGCTGGTCATCTTGACACCTGCAGGTGTGCTGCTGTATGGAGAGCTGATGGCCATCTGTCCTTCCCCAAAAAAAAGGCACCTCAAAAAGCCTTCTCTTGACCTTTGACTCTGAGGAAGTGCAAACCAACATCTCTGTTATGATTCCTGACCAAGATGGTGGCATGATTGGCAATTGAGGCGACACACTCTTTGTGGTGCAGTGTCTTCATTACACTGATAATACATGGATCTGGGAATGGCAGAATACTTCGTGAAAGGAAGTTTCTATAAAAGGGAAACTCTAAAGGTGTTAATAATCCAGAAATTTTGGTTTAGGTGCAGAAGGGTAACTCTGAAAATGAAAAGTGCTTTTTAAAAAGTACCTCAAAGGGTTGCTGCGAAAGTGAAAGTAAGACATGAGCACGGCTTTATTTTCTTTGCTTACAAAATAAGTCCACCACAAACCAAAACACCATTAGGGATAAGATAGTAAGGCAGAAGTATCTAATTCAGTTTCGTACCAGTTTTCACAAGAAAGATGAAATAATAATTCAATTATCTAATGTGAACAATAGAAGAGAGAAGTGGTACATTTTAAAATGCTGCTTATGCTGTAGGACTGCTGGGGGAGTCAGACATCCTTGTCAGGATCTGACAAAGACACAATTATAAATAATTCCAACAAGAAAAAAATGTGGAAGACAGCAAAAAAGACCAATGTGGCTGCAGAAAAATCTCAGAGAGGACCTGAAGGGGGAAAAAGAAAAGAAACAAAAACACCTATAGGAAGTGGAAAGAAAGCCAGGCCACAAAGAAAGAGTACAGACAAGTAGCAAGGAATTGCAGGGATGGCGTTAGGAAGGCAAAAGCTGAGCATGAGCTGAGGTTAGCAAGAGATGCCTCTTGGGAGGAGAGCAATGACAAACCTCGACAGCATCTTCAAAAGCAGAGACCTCACCGTGCCAACAAAGGTCCAAATCGTCAAAGCTATGGTTTTTCCTGTAGTGATGTACGGAAGTGAGAGCTGGACCATAAGGAAGGTTGACCACAGAAGAATTGATGCTTTTGAATTGTGGTGCTGGAGGAGACTCTTGAGAGTCCCCTGGACTGCAAGGAGAACAAACCTATCCATTCTGAAGGAAATCAACCCTGAGTGCTCACTGGAAGGACAGATCCTGAAGCTGAGGCTCCAATACTTTGGCCATCTCATGAGAAGAGAAGACCCCCTGGTGCTGGGAAAGTGTGAAGGCAAGAGGAGAAGGGGACAACAGAGAACGAGATGTTTAGACAGGATCATCGACGCGACCAACATGACTTTAACCCAACTCCGGGAGGCAGTGGAAAACAGGAGGGCCTGGCGTGCTCTGGTCCATGAGGTCACAAAGAGTTGGACACAACTTAATGACTAAACAAAGATGCTCTAGCCTTCCTAGTATTACAATCACACACAGTTATCAGGGTGCTGACAGAGATACTGAAAAAGGAAGGAAGGGCATGTATTGACACCAGCAAGACTCGCAATCAAAGAAAATTGGAGGAATTTGCCCAAGCGCTTGAGGAAACCCTTCCAGATCCGGCTGAGGCAAATGCACCTGAATGATGGGAACATTTCAAGAACATTGTTTATAACACCACTTTGTCCATATCTGACAAGAAGACCAAAATAGTGGCAGACTAGTTTGAAGCGCATTTGGAGGACCTGATGCCAGCCATTGAGGAAAAGAGGAGAGCTCTAGGAGCATACAAAGCTTGTCCTCGCGAGTACAACTTGCAGGCTCTTCAAGTTGTATGAAATCTTTTGTCTTTGCTGGAGAGAAGGTGGGGTACCACAGGACATGAAGGATGCAAACATTGTCACATTATATAAAAACAAAGGAGACAGGGGCAACTGCAATAACTACTGTGGCATCTCTCAGACGTTCCAAGACCTCTGTTCAGAGCACATTACCATAGTATCTCAAGACTGAAGGATGCCTACATACAAGTACATGACCTCTGTGGGGCATTTGCACAACACTTTGCAGGCAAGGTCACTCAGATCGCCCTTCACTTAGATGCTGTAATAATTGATACAGGTCCTGTGGATGAAGCATTGACCTCTGCTTGTCTTGTTATATTGGATACGTTTCAGTCAGTGCATCCTGGAGATGTGGAGAGGATTCTTGGAGAAGTGAATGCCGCCATGAGTGTACTAGATAGACCCTTGCCTTTACTGGCTTATAAAAGCAGCCAGAGTTGGCCAGGTGAGTACCTGGTGTGGTGAATGCCTCCTTGCAGCAGGGTAGGATCCCAGGATACTTAAGGAGAAAGTAGCCATACCATCACTGGAAACGCCCTCCCTGAATCCCATTTTATTGGACAACCACAGGCAGTCTCTAATATTCCATTCATGGGCAAGGTGCTGAAGTGGGTTGTGGCTTCTCAGCTCCAGGGGTTCCTGTATGAGAACAAATTATCTAGATCCATTTCAATCTGGCTTCAGGTCTGGTTATGGGCTAGAGGCAACTTTGGTCACCTTGGTGGATGACCTTTGCCAGGAACTGGACAGGGAGAGTGTGTCCCTGTTGGTTCTTCTGGACCTCTCAGAATGTTTTGATACCTTGAGACCTTTGATATCACCTATGGTATCCTTTGGGCTCATCTCTCTGGCATGGGACTTGGAGGCACTGTTTTGCTCTGGCTCCAGTCCTCCCTGGAGAAAAGAACTTAGAAAGTGGTGTGGGGGGGGGACTCCTGTTCAACACCCTTGCCACTGGCCTGTGGTGTCCCTTATGGTTCTGTTTTGTCTCCTTTGTTATTCAACATCTACATGAAAGCACTGGTAGAAACTGTCCAGAGTTTGGAGATTCAGTCAGTCCCGGATTAATCACTGAGCAAAACAAGCATATGCTTAGGGCATCAACATGGGAAGGGGGCAACACACTGTTTCCTTTCAGTTTCTTTTGCCACGGACATTGGTGGCAACGGTGCACCTTCTTTAGGAAACCACATCCATCCCTTCATCCCTCTCTATTCCCTCTTTTCCTTAACAGCTCCAAGCCACCTCCCTATCGAATAATGTGAGCCACCTTGAATCCCCTTATTTGGGGGAGAGGCTATCTCTCTCTCTCTGTCACACACACACAGAGAGAGAGAGAGAGAGAGAGAGGGAGGGAGAGAGAGGGAGTTACAGGAGGGGTATACATGGCTCAGCGATACTATGAGTGAGAAGGATCTTTCAACTGTTGTAGATCACAAGCTGAATATAAGCCAACACTGCAATGTGGTTGCGAAAAGAGAAGTATAGTCTCTGAATCCCATTAAGTGCCAGTTCCCCTCTATTCAGCACCGGTTAGGCCTCCTCTTGAGTCCTGTGTCCAGTTATGGACAGCACACTTGAAGAAGGATGCTGACAAACTGGAGCAAGTTCAGAGGAGGGCGACAAGGAGGATCAGGGGGCTGGAAACCAAGCCCTATAAGGAGGAAAGACTGAAAGAACTGGGCCGGTTTAGCCTTAAGAAAAGAAGACTGAGGGGAGATAGAAGGAGAGCCCTCTTCAAAGACTTGAAAGGCTGTCCTACAGAGGAGGGGCAGGATCTGTTCTCAGTCATCCCTGAGTGCAGGACTCATGATAATGGGCTCAAGATGCTGGAAGCCAGATTTTGGCTTAAACAATTAAGAGTTTATCTGGAAAAAAACTCTTACTGTAGTTGTTACAGCAGGAGGACAATGGAACCCATGATCTGAGGAGGGGAAGCCAGATTTTGGCTTAAACAATTAAGTTTATCTGGAAAAAACCTCTTACTGTAATTGTTACAGCAGGAGGACAATGGAATCCATGATCTGAGGAGAGAGATTGTGAGCGCTCCAACTGGAGTCCTTCAAGAGAAAACTGAACCATTCTCTGCCACATTTGCTTTGACTTGAATTCCTGCCTTGGGCAGGGGTTGGGCTCGATGACCTCATGGGTCCCGTTTAACTCCCTGATGCTAGGATCCTAGCGCCGTCCAGTCGCTGAGTCCACCTTCATCGCCTGCGCAGCCCTGCCTGCCTCCCTCCCTCCCTCCGTCCCTCCCTCCCTCTGGCGCCCGCGCTCAGTCCCGGGAGCTCACGCCCTCACTTCAGCGCTCCGCCAGGCTGTAATGGAAGCGGAGATGCACGTCGGGGAGAAGTTGGTGGCGGTCACGCTGCTTTGGCTGCTGGTGGCCGTTCCCGAACGCGCCTTGGCCCATAGCGGAGAAGAGGACCCTCCGCGTTCCCATGCAGGTGGGGAAGGGCTCCGGGGCGCAGGCGGGGGCTGCGGGCGTCGTTCAAACGACGAGCCTTCGGGGGCTAGGGCCGAGGCGACGGCTGCCGGCGCAGCTCGGCTTTGGATCACTTCAGCAGACTCCGGCGGGAAAGCGGGGCGCTCCCCACAACCCCCCTCCCCGGCGCAGCCCCTCTCCCTGCCGACGAGAGCAGGCGCTTTGCACAAGAGGCCAGGCGTGGGGAGGCCCTGTGGGGCAGACTCTCTGGGGGAGACCTCTCACCCCCGGCTGCAGGCTTGTCTTTCCCCTCAAGGGCAGCGGAGAGAACTCGAACCTCTGAGCGAGCTCGAAGGGGTGTCCTCTCGCTGCGGAGCAGCCACAGCGGATCCCCTCCTTCCCCACGCGGCACATGGGCCGGGAAGTTGTGGCGAGGCTTTCCTCGGGGCTTTCGGGTTTCCCGCTTCCCCCTGCGCCCCCCTCGCCCCCCCGGAGGTAATACAGACTCCCTGAGAGTGGCCGGGAGGTTTCTGCCTTTCGGCGCCTTTTGTCCTCTTTGCTCCCTTTTTTTCCTTGAGCGGGGAGGGGTAAGGGAAGGTCGAAAGGATCCTGGCAACGTTTTTCTTTTTTAATTTATGCTATTAATTACTTTCAGGTTAGTCATCATAATATTCCATGCATCCGGAGGTAGGGAATCTGAAACCGCCCTAAAAATCGCAAGCAGAAACTGGTCTCTGTAGAGGAGGTCTCTCCCCCACCCACCCCCGGCCTTTGGCGCGGGTACCAGGACCCCGTCGTTGGCGCGCTCTCTTTTGTTCTTCTATATACAGTACACCGAAACCGAAGTTAGCCGGTAACAAGCCTAGAAGCCGCTTGAAAAGTCCTCTTTCTCTTATTCTTACCTGGTCGCAATATTTCCAGTGAATTAAGGCAAATCAGAATGGTTTTTGAGGACTGCGTGTGAGTGCCCGCGCGCGTGTCACCTTCTAGCTTGCGCTTAGGAAAAAGGCAAAGCAAGGGAACCGCGTAGCGCCTCTGCCGCCCCAGAGCCCGTGCCAGCGGGGGGGGGGGGCGCTCCGTGGCCTTTCAAGCTGGAGTGTCCGCGCGGCCTCTTGGGGGGGGGGATAGCTATCCCTCTTTATTGTCTTGGCGCCAGTAATGGGTTTAGGGTTGCAGCTTGTGGGAAGAAACCTGACGTAAGGCCAAAGGCGAAAGTCCGGGCACTGGACACCCGAACCCCAGGAGCTCTCAGCGGAAGAGTGAAAACGTGGGGCGGTGGGTTTCGGGGGGGGGGCAGGAGAAGAGAGAGAATGCTTTCTGGCAGCGGATCAGCTTGTCCTCCTGAATGAAGAATCCCCCTCTGGTTGAGAGGGGGGGGATGCCTCTGTCCCGCCCCCCCAACCCGTTTCTTACCTGCATGGGCCCAGAAGCTGTGCGTGTACCTCGCTTCTGCTCTGCCTCAGTGGGTGTGGAGGAGACCCTGTGATCAGCCCATGGAGGTCTGCCCCCCCAGTGCCACCCCCAGCCCTTCGGGTCGCCCACCGTCCTGACAGGAAGAAAGGCAAGGTCTTTCTTAAAAGTGCACTGGAAGCCATCCTCCGGGCCAAGGTCTGGAAACTGCCGCTTGGCTCAGTTAGCCAGCCACCCACTGGGGCCCAGATTGAGCCTTTTTGAGAAAGTGTTTGCATTTTCCAGCTGGCGTGCTGTGGATTTAGGTGCATGGATAGCTTGCTGAAGGCTTATTATTATTACAACACTAATTTTCTTCCAATGTAAAATGTGGGTAGAAGTATGTCGCATCATAAGGCAGGATGAGTATACTTTACAAGGCTTCCGAGAATAATGTGAAAGAAAGGGCAGCAACAAATTTTGGTCAATGTGCTGAATACATGAATCAAGTTCCACATCAGTTACATCCCGGATTATTGTAATGTGCTCTACATGGGGCTGTTTTTGGAAAATGTTCAGAAATTTCAATGGGTCCGAAATGCCACAGCCAGATGATTAACTAGAGTGTGTTACATGGATCATATAATTCCCTACGTAGTTACAGCAGCTCCACTGGCTGTTTGTCTGTTTCCCAGCACAATTCAACATGCTGCTTTGGCCTATCAAGCCCTGAACAACCTGGGTCCAAGGTACCTGGAAGAACTCCTCTCCCTTTATGAGCCTGGCCAAGTTTTAGAATCGTCAGGGGAGGTCTTTCTCTCAATTCTGCCACCCTCAGGGGTGCATTGGATGAGGATATGAGTGTGTCTTCTCTGTTGCTGTTCCCCAAGCTCTGGAACTCCCTCCCACCGGAGGCTAGGCTGGCCGGTCCCCTCTCTGAAGACTTTCCACAAGCAAACAAAAACTTTTGTCTTTATGCAGGCTTTTTCTCTGTAACCAGCACCCTAAAAAAGGGGGGGGGTCTTCAAAATGGGACTGCTATGTTTTTTAAGTTTTTAATATTACCATATGTGTTTTAATATTGTAAATTGCCTTGGGTCCTTCTGAGGTTACAAATATTTTATGGATGGATAAATAAATAAATAAATAAATATATAAATAAATAAATAAATAAATAAATAAATAAATAAATAAATAAATAATATTCAAATATTTAATTGCAGAGTAGGATGTTCTACCAGTCCCAGTTAGTGGGTGGGACAAAGGTTGAAAAGCATGCTGCCTCAGAGTGAGCTCTGATAACAAGCAAAGTGTAGAACTAAGTTTTTCTTCCCATTTACAGAGTATCATGCATTAAATTGGTTTTCTGTTCTTCTAAGCTCCAATCTTTCGCACTCAATGGACGCTACATTTTATAAGGAAAGCACTTCCAGGTCTTCCACTCATACTTACAGTAATGGGACATTGTGTCCTGTTGTTCAAGACTGACAGGAAAGGCAGTGCTGGCTTTTTGGTGCCCTCTGGCCACCATGGAATCAGGAGCCTTCTCTTCGCACCCAAAGATAGCCAGGCAAAACTCAGGGGGTGCTCACAGATCATAGGGTTGGAAGGGACCTTGGAAGTGTTCTAGTCCAGCCCCCTGCCCAAGGCAGGAGACCTGATCCCATCCCAGACAGAGGGCTGTCCAATCTTTTCTTGAAAACCTCCAGTGATGGGCACCCACCACATCGGGAGGTGAGCTGTTCCACTGTTTCATGGTTCTCACTATCCAGGAAATTCCTCCTTATTTCCAGGTTGGATCTCCACCCATTGGTTCTTGTCCTACCCTCAGGTGCATAAGGAGCATAAATCAATGTCCTCTTCTCTGTGGCAACCCTTCAGATATTCGAAGAGTGATGTCATATCTAACCCTCAGTTTTCTCTTTGTTAAGCTGAACATACCTAGTTCTTCGAGTCGTTCTTCATAGGATTTAGCCTCCAGTCCCCTCATCATCTTTGTTGCTCTTCTTGGCACTCCTTCCAGGGCCTCAGCATCTTTTTTGTATTGTGGTGACCAGAACTGGACACAGCAAGTGCGGCCTCACCAGTGTGGTACAGAGCGGTACTCTCACTTCCCGTGATCTTGATGCACTCCCGCTGTTGATGCAGCCTAGGACGGTGTGGGCTTTCTCGACAGCTGCCACACACTGCGGCTGACTCATCCTTCGATCCCAGCCCTTGTGGACCTGCCTTGCTGCCCATGGACATCATGGTACCTACAGATGCCTTCCCACTTCTCCTGATTTTTGAACACTTATTTCTCAATTGGAAAAAAAAAACCCTTTTCAGCCATGTGTGTCTGATGGGGCCACAGAGAAAAGCATTGTCCTTCACCCTCTGCCATGTTCTTAGATGGCTGCACCCAGGGCTTTGTTCTGAGGGGAAGTCAGTCTTCCAGAAATGCAACCGCCGCCACCAGCACCACCAGTAATTGGGGAGGGGGCATGTGGGTTAGGGTTCCTTGTGCATGGAACGTGTATGATGTTCATTGGTTTGTTGGCTTATTTTGGTGTGAAGTAAGCTTTCCTTGGGATTATGCCTGTGAATGTTTCTCTGAGGACAACACGGGCCTTCCACGAAACAGGCATTTTGTAGCAGTTTGTGGGGACAAAGGTAGGACAGTGTTTGGCTCCTAGAAGATCCTTCCTGTGCTTGGCAAGCGGTGCCTCAGCCAAGCTCCTCACCTGCTTGCTATGGGCAGAAAACTGTGGATTCTCAGAAACAGTGTTGTTGGGTTCCAAAGCCCAGATCCTGCCTCGCCTTCTGGGGGTTGACGCATTGTTTTTAGCCTCTGGAGTTTCCCTTATACATCGCGACTGGCCACACCAGCGTTGGCAGGCATTTTCGGAAAATGTTGACAACGTTCCCTCATAATTTTCAATGTTCCCGCCAACTCAGAAACTGATGGGGCGGGGGGAGGAACGGGGGACTGCCGTACCCAAGAACTGCTCTGGCGCCACCCACTTGAAGGTTGAAGGTGCTGCATGAGTCTGGCACTGGAGGAGGGGATAACGTTTGAACTGCTCTGGCGCCACCCACTTGAAGGTGCTGCATGAGTCTGGCACTGGGGGAGGGGAGAACGTTTGCTACTGACCTTGTAGCAATGGAGGGGTCGAGTTCTTGTGGGGCCCACGCAGCCAGCCGTCACAGCTCCAAAACTCCCTGAAGTCAGTTGGGGCTGGGCACCCCGTGCAAATACTTGCCAGCCACCTGCCTTCGCTGGTGGGCAGGTGATCCATCACCTTTCCTCACAAAGCAGAGACAAAGAGAAAGGGAGTGACGGTGCAGGAAATTGGCCCTAGTCCCACGCCTTGGGCATTGCTCTGTTTCCTGGGCACATGAACTTCCAAGATCTGAGCTAGGCTGCCAGCAAGGGATTATCTGCCACTGCTGCTGGAGGAGTTGTTCCGAGCAAAAGGTTGCAAAAGAAGCACATGGCAGTTCTTCTTGATGGTGTTAGGAAGGCAGGAGGAAGCAGAAGGTGGCTGGCTCAGTAGCCAGGACCACTTTGGTGCCCCTGGTGCCACAGAGTGCTTCCTTCCCTCCTTGTTCAAAGAGGGCCCTCAGAGGCGAGGTCAGTGCAGTTTCTCAAGA